AGCCGGGTTAAAGCAAGCATCCAATAAACACTTATTCAGCTTGTTATTTGGAGTTAGTCTTCTCCCATCTATAGAGGGAGATGTGAGATTCTTAAAAACCATCATAGTTAGATTTGTTGCTCAATATGTGTATACAGAAACCCAGTGAATTGTTTGGCTCAAACTATATGTAGGAATGTGCCTTTGCTTTCTCTGGTTGGAATATCAGATTGGACCCTGTTAAAATTTTAAGTAGTATATCCAAGTGATGCCTTGGAATATCGTCATTATTACCAGTAGCAATTTAAGATGAAGGAAATAAAGAAATTATATAGTTATATATTTTAAACATAAAGTATAATTTCTCTAACGAAAAACTTCAATCAATATGCTAAACATACTTAACTGTCTCCTACAATGATTAAAATAGTAAGTATTAGACAAATCAATAATAAAAGGCATGTTTGCAGAGATGCAGAATGTGTGGCCTCTAGGTGTCATACTTGACCACATTCAGGTCATCAAATTCAATAGGTTCTGTGGTTATTTTGTATCCAGTAGAATATTATTGATTGAAGATTCAAGCATTTCAATTTTAACTTCATCAGTTAGAGATAAAGGGATTTTTTTCTTGCAGAGTTAGAACAATTCTAATAAATGTTATCCATGCTAATATATTAAAAATAGATGGTGGATTTCTCCCAATATTTTCTTCCTTTGAGCACAGACAGACCAAGCCAAAGATCATAGAATAGTGACAAGAAAATTTAATGATTTATGTATGGACCACATCGGGGACGGGGGGGGGTTTCTACTTATCTTTATTACCAGTTTGCAATGGGATTACGCATGCGCAGATCGCTTCTGATGACGTCAGGGTCAGTGGGTGGAGCCTCCTGCCGGTTTTACAACCAGTTCTATAGAACCGGTCCAAACCAGGGGCAACCCACCACTGGACCACATCAACAAGACACCCTTAAAACTCTCTTGTGACTGCATTTTAGGGAAACAGCAAATTCTAACAAGTAAAAATTTTAAAAGGTCATGTCATTCTTCTCCTCACTAGTTCAAATGAGATTCTGGAACACAATCTCACATTGTTTACTATTAAATGGCATCTGATTGTATACTTGGAATCAAAAATCTCTTGCCAATCTTCTTCAAGGGCCATTCTCTATAAGGGCTAGTCCATATTTCTCATGATCCCCAGCATGAATAATGGGGTCTGTAATACAAGATAATTGGAATGAATTTGATTGGAGAAAGAAAATCTGCTGCTGGAAAATATACTGTCACCACTATTATATAATCAATCATTTCTATCACTGCTTTGTCTCTTGGGATTCCTTGAGTTTTCAGGTTTTCCCAAGTCCCTTCTATCTGCCTCAATGCCAGCACCTTCAAACTCTCTTTAACCTTCCCACCTTGTATTCTCATTTCCTATTTCAAACTTTGAAAATCCTCTTTCTGTTTTTTCACAGGATGGTTATTGTCTGCTTTTATTAGAGATAGGACATTGTCTAAATCTAGTGATGATGGGAAAACCCTTGCTGACTTTTTTGCAAGAAACAGGAAAAAAAATGATATATGGTTTGGAGGATTAGAATAAAAATACTTGATTACAGAGAAAATGTAAATAATGTTGAAATCGTAAAATAAAAGGTTATTTTGCATTTATATTTTAACTCCTGTAAAAGTAAACCAGAAGTCACATCTCTATAATTCTTTTATTTGGTTTCTGCACTTTTGTTCTTTTCAGCTTCCCTTCATTTTCATTTTCCATTCTAAATATTAGTTGTTAGTTTTTATTCTGTATTAACATTATAATAAAATGTAACACATGGAGTGAGCCAAGAACAGCTTGCAAAACTTTGCAAAACTCCTACTTGGAAGGATTTGTACAACTCCAAACTACATATGACTTTTCCCCTTTTTTTCTGCACATCATCAGAGCAATGACTTTCCATCTTATTTTTTCTCTCCTTCCTATAGGAAGAAGAATGCAGGGCCCAATTACAATGCATGCATGTGTTGGGGGGGTGCATTCATTACAATATACCAAATACTGAAATCTGTACAGGTCATCCTTGTTGAAATACCATTCATTCAGCAATCATGCTAGTTATGCTGAAAATGGACATTTCTAATGGGTTGATAGTAGTGGCTTTGACATTGTAGGAAGTTTTCAGATATGAAAGATAACCTTGGTTGGGAAATGTTTTTGATTGTTTTCTAGAGATCATAAATTCATTCCCTTTGATGCCATTCAGTGAAATGATGAAACTTCTCCACTGCAGAAATGGTATGACTGAAAGGATGATGAATGCTCATTATAATCATAACACAACTCAAATAATACTTGAATGTGCTGAGCAGCAAATGCAGATCCTGCTGGCCTTAACACTGCCAATTAGTTAAGAAAATGAATAGCAAAAGAAAGAGAAATAAATATAAATGGTTACACTGACAATTTGTCATGGGCACTAATGTAGAAATTAACTCGGAAAATATACTAGAGAAGACTTCAGATTTTTATCAAAGTACAACTATAAATGAAAGTTAAAACCACTTCTTTGGGACATTTTGACAGGAGTACTATCCTGTCCTTTGCTGTTTCAAGAAGCTTCTTTAGATATAGTCAGAATATTTTAACCTAAAGAGAAGTATCACATTTTCTGCTTAATCTCTTCTGTTTTATATATCCACTACCCAGTTGCTTGATCATTTCAGAACTATCCCCTAATCCCTCATATCCTAAAATATCCTAGGATAGTAGGAGATTACATAGGAATGCAAGTCAAAGTAGGCAGGAAAATGGTAAGAGAATACCTATTGACTTTAGATGAGTTCAGATTGCCAAAATCAGATGGATTACAACCCAGAGTTCTGAAGGAACTGACAGATGTGATCTCAGGACCACTAAACTATATTTTTCAAAGGTCTTGGGGCCCTGAGGAAATATCAGAAGACTAGAAAAGAACTAATGTGGTTTCCATCTACAAAAAGGAGGAAAAGGGGGATCCAGGAAACTACAGACCAAGCAGCCTGACACCACTATCTGGGAAGATCTTGGAAAAAGATAATCAAGTAGTGCATTTGTGAGCAACTGGAAATGAACAAGGAAATTAATACATCTTAGCATGGGTTTGTCAAAAGTAATTATGCCAGACAAATCATATTAATTTCTTTGAAAAAGTGACTAAATTAGTGGCTAAGGGAAATGCTGTAGAATTACTTTACTCTGACTTCAGTTAAGGCATTTGACAAAATGCCTACTAGTTGTAAGATAGAGCAATGTGTGATAGTGAGTATCACCAAATGGATTCACAAGTGGCTGACCAACCACAGTCAGTAGACCAACCTCAATGGAACTACCTCTAATTGGGTACCTCAAGCTTCTGTTTTAGGCCAGTACTCTTCAACTTCTTCATGAGGGAATAGAAGGAGAACACATCCAATTTTTAGATAACACAAAGCTTGAGGGGAATAGCAAACATTTTAGGTGATAAACTCAAGATTCAGAAGGACCTTGCCAGACCTGAACACTAGGCCCTATCTAACAAAATTGAATTCAGTGATAAGGAAAATAAGGTCCTTCACACAGGCCAGAAAAAACAAATGCAAAAATATACAGTAGAATAGGTATTAACTGGCTCAATAGTATTAACTATGAGTGAGAACTAGGTGTCCCAGTAGACAACCTTAAGCCAGCAGTATGCTACATCTGCTAAAAAAGCTAATGTAGTGCTCCATTTCATTGACAGAAGGATAGTTTCAAGATCACATGAAGTATCATTTATACTGCACTGCCAAGACCACATTTGGAGTACTGCATTCAGTTCTGGTCACCACAATACAAAAAAGCATGTTGAGACCCTAGAACGAGTGCAGAGAAGAGCAACAAAGATGATATCACTAAACTATATGATAAACGATTGAGGGAACTAAGTATGTCTAGTCTAACAAAGAGAAGACATAGGGGTCATATGAAAGCAATCTCCCAGTACTTGAGGGGCTGTCACAGAGAAGACTTATTTCTTCAAAGTACCTGAAGGCAAGACAAGAAGTAACATGTGGAAGATCATTAAAGAGAGATCCAGCCTAGGACTAAGGAGACATTTCCTGACAGTTGATGATGACATTATCTATTCAATTGAGTCTGACTCTTAGCAATTCTATCAGTGAAGGCTCCCCACATCTTGAAATATTTCTTTGAATTTTTCTATGCTCTGTGCCAATTCTGATAAGTGATTTCCAGTCACTGTATTCTTTGACAGCCTGATTTCCTTTTACATTAATTCTTCTGAACAAAATTGCTTTTCCTGACAGTTAGAACAATTAATCAGTGGAATGGAAAGTTTTGGATGCTCCCTCACTAGAAGTTTTCAAGATGAGACTGGATAGCCATTTGGTATAGAATTTCCTGCCATGGGCAGGGGGTTGGACTAGAAGACCCCAAAGTCCCTTCAAACCCTCCCACATTCTATGTTTCTCTCACACAAAATCTTTCACAATTTTTTTCGTTTAAATATATCAATTGAATTATTGTAAGAAATAAAGAATGCATTTCAATTCAAAACACGTGTATTGTTTTCCACAATACAATACAGTATTTAACTTTTGCTGAAGACTACACTTGTAATCTTATAATCTATGTAATCTATGAACTGCATGCCAAGAATCACAGGATCATGGGGTATATTTTTATATATGGAAAAATAACAGTGTTCTCCTTCAAGTGGTTATGCATCTCCTAGGCTTGAAGGGTAAAATCCAAAAATGGTCTCCAAATACCAACCCTATAGAATTACACATAGCTCTATTTTTTCTAACATACACAATAATGAAATGGGAAAAGGAAAAAATTGGGGATCCAGCATAAATAGCTGGGATAGAAATTCAAGCCCCCCAAATCTCCCAACTCTCTGCCATGCCTTCTATCCAGCCCATTACCTAACAACATGAATAAAACTGGGAAAACTAAAACAGGACAAGAGGGTAGAAAGAAGGCAGCAAGTTACCACTTTTTACTGCAGTCCTTTCTATTGATGTCCTAGAACATCCAAGAAATGTCAGACTCCAAGGTCAGAACCCTCCTGCAAATAAAGAAAAGTGTGAATAGATTACTATATTTTTTTTAAAAAATCACATTCATGATATATACTTTGTTTTGTAGCTTGTGGTAGATGAACTCCTTGTATATATACAGGCTTTGTTTTACTTGATGTTGTGTTGTAATTTGATACTGCCAGTGCAAGTTAAGAATAATTAGAATTGCTAGACACTCACACATAGATGCACAAATACCTTTGTCACAAAATTCATTATGCAATTTCCAAAATCCTGAATTTTTATATGGTTTTATACCTTCATTTACCTAATGATTACAGCAAGCTATGTACTGCCTGGTGATGACCTTGCCTTTGCCTCCTTAATTGTTGCCCTCTGCCTTAGAAAAAGGTTACAGAGTGAGCCAAAGTGAAAAAGGAGAAGCAACATTTCTATTTCTGCTTATCACTTTCTTTCCTATATTCCTGCTCCTAGTTGACAAAGGAAGAACAGCCATAGGAAGAGGATGTAGCAAAATAGACTCTCATATTAGGAATACTGGGGGGGCCTCTGGTCCTGTTCCTTATCAACATCTGCTATAGTAGCAAGAACAATCATTTAAATATGAGCTAGCAGTGTTCTACAGCTGCCAAAAAAACCAACAGAGTTCTAGGTTGCATAAACAGAGGGATAGAATCAAGATCACATGAAATGTTAATACCACTTTATAATGCCTTAGTAAGGTAACACTTGGAATACTGCATCCATTTTTGATCGCCACGATGTAAAAAAGATGTTGAGACTCTAGAAAGAGTGCAGAGAAGAGCAACAAAGGTGATTAGGGGACTGGAGGCTAAAACATACAAAAGAATGATTGCTGTAATTGGGTATGTCTAGTTTGATGAAAAGAAGGAATAGGGGTGACATGATGGTACTGTTCCAATATCTCAGGAGCTACCACAAAGAAGAGAGTCAAGCTATTCTCCAAAGCACATGAGGGCAGGACAAAAAGCAATGGGTGGAAACTAATCCAGGAAAGAAGCAATCTAGAACTAAGGAGAAATTTCCTGACAGTTAGAACAATTAACCAGTGGAACAACTTGCCTCCAGAAGTTGTGAATGCTTCAACACTAGAAGTTTTTAAGAAGAGATTGGATAACCATTTGTCTGAAATGGTATAGGGTTTCTTGCCTGAGCAGGAGATTGGAGTAGAAGGCCTCCAAGTCCCTTTCAACCCTTTGTTCTGTTCTGTTCTGTTCTGTTCTATTCTATTGTAAGGTAACAATTTTTCCTTCAAAATAAGAGTGTCCATGTTTAGCAGGAGGTTTCAGATGTCTTCACATCTGAAGATGTATTATTTTTATCTCTCCAATTTCAGAGATTTTTAAAACATGTCAAGAAAAAAAATGACAGAAGGAACAAAACCAGCCTCTTTTTTATCTTGTCTGCTTATTAATTTGCAGCTTCATGAAAATCTTTCCATCAGGTCTGCTTAGAAACTAAGTACAAGTATCATAGCTTGGAGCAAACCAAATTTACCAAATATTTCATGAGCTTTCAACAGTGAAGGAAATGCAAAGGGCATGGAGGTTGGTTGTGATTAGTAAAATTAAAGCAAATCTATGTTATATGGAATAAATCATTTATCAAATCTAGTTTAAAATACCAGTGCTTCATGAAAAGGATTCATTTTTAATAATTAAGTATTAGTATAATAAAATGCTGTCCAATCTTGTCTACTACTTCATGTAGTTTTCAATGAATTTTAAATTTTAAATTTCTCATGTCTACTATGCATTAATTACACTTGCCTTATAAAAATTAAAGTGGGTATGACACAGTTGGGAAATCACTCCTATAGAAATACATAAAATTCTATTCTTTATTCACATTGAGAATCAGGACCATGAACAGCTGTCATTTCAAAAAATGTTCATTTAATTGTGCTATTGCTTAAGCTACATAGAAATGTCCTTAAAAGTGGATGAACCAGAATATTATAGTACTGGCACACATTATTTTTTCAGGATTCTGCATCCTTTAAATGAAACTTTGCATGTGGCTTAATGGGAATCCTTAAAAAAATCCTATTGTCATACTGAAAATGCTATTGTGCTACTCTTATAACAAGACAACCATGTTTTGTTCTGAAGCATTTACCAAAGGTCCAGGATTAAAAAGTAGTCAGGATCAAATCAGACACCCGTTTCTCTGTTCTGAGACATTTTCCACATGTCAATTATTCCAAACATATCTCTGAGTCTCCTTGCTATGCTAATCAACCTTGCATTCTCACTTCCTTTGAATCTTTCCACCTTGTTCCCTTATTCATTCAGCTTTCTTTTCTATTCAGAAGGATTCTTGAAAACTCCACCACATAAATCTCCAGTGAGTTCCCGATCTGAGTTGCTTTAGATATCTTAACTTTGTATGGCCTGAAGCTACATAATACAGCAGTCACACTAAAGTTAAGCAAATCTAAATCTAGACACTGCTTAAATGAAAAACATTTAGGAATGCAATACACTGCCTTCTGTTGCATATAATAAATTTGAGAATGGGCGTTGGTCTTACCTGATACGCCTCTTCTCTGACTGGCGCCCACGGCAGTCATGCCTGGGTATTGACACGACTGTAGACCAATAGGACCGAGTCCACTGGAACTTTTAGCACCGCCCCTTCCTGCTGTATTCCAGTTTTGAGGCGAGGCTGTCCAGCGGACTAAAGTGTCTGTAAGATAAAGCAGAAGGTAAAAGAATTCCCACCCAGCGAACCCAGGGACGGCCGGAACGGGTGGGGCTGACTGCCGTGGGCGCCAGTCAGAGAAGAGGTGTATCAGGTAAGACCAACGCCCATTCTCCTACAGGGCGCCCACGGCAGTCATGCCTGGGACATACCAAAGCCTGATGTCTCCTAGGGAGGGAGAGGCCGGACCTGCTGTAGAACTCTCCTGCCAAAGGCCGCGTCCGCTGACGCATAGACATCCAGACGGTAGTGCCGGATGAAAGGAGACACAGACGACCACGTAGCGGCCCGGCAGATCTCCTCCAGAGGCGCTTGAGTGGACCAGGCAGCGGAGGTGGAAGCGCTCCTGGTTGAATGTGCCGTGATGTTAGCTGGCACCTGCAGGGACTGCGCTTCATAGGCCAGTGCAATGGTAGCTCTGAGCCACCGCCCTATAGTAACTGAAGAGACACGGGAACCCATAGTCGAAGGCTGGAAGGATAGAAAAAGAGCTTCTGACCGTCGGAAGGATGCAGTACGGGCAACATAAATCTTGAGGGCCCGGTGGACGTCCAGCTTGTGCCAAAGGAACTCCTGGCGATGACGGGGAGAAGGGCAGAAGTTCGGAAGCGAGAGCTCCTGTGACCTGTGGAAGATGGTGTTAATCTTCGGGACGAATGCCGGGTCCAGACGAAGAACCACCCTGTCCGTGTGAAAAATGCAGAGGTCAGAGCGCACGGACAGGGCAGCAAGCTCTGAAATACGCCGTGCAGAAGTCACAGCAACGAGGAACGCCACCTTAAACGAGAGGAACTTGAGACCAACGTCCCGTAAGGGTTCGAACGGTGGACCGGTTAGGGCGGATAAGACCTTGTTTAGGTCCCACGATGGAAAACGGTGAACCGTAGGAGGACGGAGATTGGTCGCACCCCTCAAAAAGGATCTGATGAGCGGATCATTGGTAATGGGTGTGTTTGATGAGCAGGAAAGAATCGATGACAAAGCGGCAACCTGCCTCCTGAGCGTATTAGGGGCAAGACCGGCAGCAAACCCCTGCTGAAGGAAGCCCAGAAGATGAGGCACCGAAGCGTCGGTAGGCGAAATGCCTTTTCCACGACACCAGGCGGAGAACACTCGCCAAGTGGATTCATAAATTCGGAGCGTAGAAGGACGGCGAGCTGCCTGGATGATGGGGATCGCATCCGGAGGAACATGAGCTTTGGTTAGGAGGAGCCGCTCAGCCGCCATGCGGTCAGTTGGAAGGCCTGAGGATTCGGGTGGAGGAGAGGACCTTGATGGAGGGAGATCCTGTCGTCCGGGATCCTCCAGTGGGGAGCAACCGACAGGGCCAAGAGGTCGGCAAACCAGGGATGCCGGGGCCAGTGTGGAGCCAGTAGGAGGAGCTCGGCCCGCTCCGCCACCATTTTCCGAAGAACCCTGGAGATAATGGGTAGAGGGGGAAAGGCATAGAGAAGAGGTTCGTGGGGCCAGGGACTCAGGAGGGCATCCATCGCTTCCGCTCCCGGAGAAGGGAATCGGGCAAAGAAGCGGGGTAACTGGCGGTTGCTGGATGTTGCGAACAGGTCCACAGAGGGACGACCATACCGAGAACACAGTTCCTCGAACAGGAGAGGGTGAAGACTCCACTCGGCTGGATCGATGAGGGAGCGGCTGAGAGAGTCCGCTGTGGAGTTCGCGGACCCCGAAATGTGTTCGGCCCGCAGAGATGACAGATGGGTCTCCGCCCAAAGACCCAATCGGAGAGCCTCTCGCATCAGGGCCCTGGAGCGAGTCCCGCCCTGACGGTTGACATGGGCCTTGGCCGAGACATTGTCCGTGAGAACAAGGACGTCCCGGCCAAGAACAAGAGGCTTGAAACTGAGGAGGGCCAGGTAAATGGCCCTCAATTCCAGGACGTTGATGCTCTGGGTCCGTTCCGTGTCGGACCAGAGACCCTGAGCCAAATGTGAGTCCAGGTGTGCCCCCCAGCCCGAGAGGCTGGCATCTGTGGTGAGAGTCGTCCAACGCTGATCCCCGAACGAAGAGCCCTGGGATACGGCTGACGATGTCCACCAGGTCAGAGAGTCTCGAACCGCCGGAGGCAGGACAATCTTGGATGTCGAAGTGCTGGTCCGACGCCGTTGGTAAGGGAACAGCAGCCACTGCAGCTCCCTGCTGTGGAGGCGAGACCAGGGCACGATGCCGTAAGCGGAGACCATCTTGCCTAAGAGGCTAGAGAGGTCTAATAGAGAGGCGGAGCCCCGCCTGTGTATCTTGGAGGCTAGGTCAGAAAGACTCGACTGGCGCTCCTGTGATAGGAAAA